TTCTCTCTCTCTCTCTCTCTCTCTCTCTCTCTCTCTCTCTCTCTCTCTCTTCACTCGATTGTGTAATTAATTAATGTGGCTTATGGATCTACAGGAATGATTATCACATACACTATCAAAGATCTATCTATGATACCTTGCTTCATGTCTCTCACCTATAAAAGAGCAATATATAATTCCACCAAAGTCTGGCCTCTACATAAACCAAAAAACAAGTATTTAACATTATTCTAGTAAGTAGAATTGGACTTTTAACTCTTCTGCAACTATAAAAAGTAGAGACAAAAGCAATTATTTGGGAAAGCTATAATATATTATTATGTGCAATTTTGTTGTTCCTTAATGATGAGACCTACACAGGAGCACAATTAATACAGAGAAAGAAAATCCAAAGCAAGATTGCCACTTGCAACCATATCATCATGGCAATTTTTGTGGAGAGCAACAAGGGCCTGTGAAGCCCCGCAGACCTCACTAAACATGGTGGTGCAGAATAGATGAAGAATAAGAACAACTTAAGGAGTCAAATCCACACTAACAACAACAAATAAGTAAATGCTGTAATATGCATATGTATATATATTTTTTCCTTGCAAAAGGTTCGATGTGTGTGCTGTGTGTATGGGCTGCTGGTTGTTGATGATATTCATCTTAGCTGCTGACATTATATTTCCCTGGTTTAGGTCTTGATATATGCATAAGGGACCATTCCAAATTGAACAAAGGTTTGAGGTGGCATAGTATTTAGATAGTGGGGTTGGGGTCTATATAAATCAAGTGACAATGATGACACATACTATTGGTGTATAAACCAATTGTTTATGCTTTTATTTGATCTATGAGATTTACTATGATGGGAGTCTTAAAGTAGAGTACACATCAAATTTACTAAAATATGAGGATTAACATGACCGCCATATTATCACGAATTGTGCACTCACAATAATTCTATTCAACGAACTATTCGTCACACTCATCTATATGTACAGCTGCTTAGCAGTATGTTTTGGCTTGGTTTTAAGTTCATTTGTTTGTAAAAATGTAAGTTCGAATAAGTTACAATGCTATAGTGTGATCGCTCACCGAACCGAGCAAAATAACCCCAAAACAGCTCCGTTTTCACGTACTACGGGCTGTTTTCTGCAGCCCGCTGCTACATGCGAAACGTCAGCCATCTTAGTACCCTAGAACCACCCAGGTGGCACCATGGGGGATGGGGCTTCGGTATAGTGTCGGGCTTTGAATAAGTTTTAGCAAGTTCGCACATTACCTTGACGGAAACTTGTTGTCACGCTTGACACTCGGTAAGCAACTATTTGTGGACTTGCAGCTGTTCGTTCAATCATCTAAAGTCTTTGTTTTCCTCCTCTCCCTCTTTTCTCTTGTGCACATAAGGTGCTCGCTGAATTACTTGTCAAGCTTCCCCTTTTCACGAGATGTCGGGACTTATCCATCGCTCATTCTTCAAACTAATCAACTTTCTTTTTTATAGGTCCTTCGGGACCTGCAAGAGGTTGCAAGTGGGCTGATCTTTGCGGACGCAAATCGCAAGGGCGAAGCATGCCTTAGGCAATGCAAACTAAGTTTACGTCTTTGCCACAAGGGTGCCTCGCGATTTAGGTAATGCAAGCTAAGTTTGCATCTTTGCCGCAAGGGTGCCTCACGACTTAGGCAATTCTAACTAAGTTCATGAAAGTATGGTATCAAAGCGGGTAAACACTTCGAGCGAACAACGAAGGAACTTCGCAACTTCGCCATGGCAAAGCATCATGACGAATCAAGCAAGGCGGGGCAAGTCGGACCCTTGCCCCAAGCAACCGCAGGTGGGCTGCAAGTGCACACTCGGTCTCATGCTGTTGGAGCCACTCAGGAGGAGCGCGATAGTGAACATGATGAGCGAGAAGTTGGCTACTCTCTGCGAGCGGAGGAGGTACAATCTAGAGCGCCAACCGGGAAAAAGAGTCATAAGAAGAGACTCACAATGATGAAAACCCGCTTGGATGTTCTTGAAGTGAGCTTGGAGGAACTCTATTATGGTCAACGAAGGCTTATTGGGGTAGAAAGCTCACAAGAAGAAGTGGAGTCCAGGATCGACAAGGTTGAGGCCCTAGTCGACCGATTGTCAAATGACACCAAAGACTCCATGCAACACCTACAGGAAGTTGTGGCGAAACTCACCTCAAGGGTGACCATGCTCACAAGAGCACCAAATCTGGGAGGAAGCAACACCCGCATTGCGCCACCACAAAACTTGAGGGCACCCGAGCCTTATAATTATGGAGGGGCCAGAGATGTCAAAGAGCTCGAGAATTTCTTGTTTGACATGGAACAATACTTTCGAGCTACGAGGCCTGATTCTGAAGAAACCAAAGTCTCTATAGCAACAATGTATCTGAACGGAGGTGCAAAACTTTGGTGGCAAACCCATTGGGAGGAGATCCAACAAGGTCGGCGTCAAGTTGACATATGGGAGGACCTAAAGCGGGAGTTGAGAACTCAATTCCTACCGGAGAATACAAAGTTCGTCGCAAGAAGGAAGTTGAGACAACTCTGCCAAAATACTTCCATCTGAGACTACATGAAGTAATTTTCTATGCTAATGCTAGACATACAGGACATGTCCGAGAAGGACAAGTTGTTTAGTTTCCTCAATAGTTTGAAGCCATGGGCTCAACAAGAACTATATCAAAGGAATGTCGCCGATATGATCGGGGCAATTGCTGCCGTAGGAAGGCTCACCGACTTTGTTTCCTTTGAAGACCACGGAAAAATAAAATAATCTTCAAGCAATCGCCTTCCAAAATATTCTCAAGGGAAGGAGCTTGGGGGTGAACAAAGGAAGAAGAGTTCCCACAAAGGGCCAAGCCTAAAAGGCAAGGCCCCAAAACCTAGTGGATGCTTCTTGTGCGGAGGGCCGCACCTAGTGAGGGAGTGCCCACAAAAATAAGCACTCAATGCTTTAACAACTTCCATCCACACCCCCTCCCCCGATCGGACAAGGGCAAGGCTGTCGCTCTTAGTTCGAGTAGTTCTAAATCCAATAGTGATGATGAGGAGTCGCAAGGATCCCGGATGGGAGTAATGCATTTGTTGAACGCCATACGGGGTCAAGTGGGGGACAATACAAAGACAAGGCAACAAAAAGCAGGAAGTGGCGAGTTGATGTACGTAGACATTAAGCTCAATGGCCAAAAGACCCGTGCAATGGTGGACACGAGCGCTACCCATAATTTTATTACCGATCGAGAAGCAAAGCGACTTGGGCTAATCTTAGAGAAGAGCCCAAGTCGAATGAAGGCGATGAACTCGGAGGCCAAACAAATCTCCAAGTTGGCAAAGAGAGTTCCCATCAAGATCGGAACATGGAGCGAGAGTACAATCATGATGGTGGTGCCACTGGATGACTTCCAAGTGATTATTGGAATTGAATTTATGCACGCGGCGAAGTTGATGCTAATGTCGTTCCTTAACTCCCTATGTGTGATGGGAGGTGACGACTCCTGTGTGGTTCCCATCTCTCGGAGAGGAGCCAGGGAACCTCAACATATATCGGCATTACAACTGAAGAAAGGGGTGCGAAAAGGTGAATTAATATTTGTTACTACTATGAAACTAGAGCCACTCGACGAGAAGGTCGTTCATGAACTTGTTATGGTGGCGAACGTCCTGAAAGAGTTCACTGATGTTATGCCACTCGAGTTGCCAAAGACTCTTCCGCCACACATAGGCGTGGATCACAACATCGAGCTAAAGCTGGGAGTGAAGCCTCCAGCGAGACCACCCTACCGTATGCCCCCGCCAGAGTTGGCATAACTCAGAAAGCAGTTAGATGAATTACTAAGCGGTGGTCTCATCTGTAGTTTTAAAGCACCATTCAGAGCTCTAGTTCTCTTTAAAAAAAAACAAGATGGGAGCCTCCGACTATGCGTCGATTACCAAGCCATCAACAAAGTGACGGTAAAGAACAAGTATCTCATCCCACTCATCGCGGACTTGTTCGACCAGTTGGGCAAAGCCAAGTATTTCTTAAAACTCGACCTTCGGTCGGGGTATTGGCAGGTGCGAATTACTGAAGGCGACGAAGCGAAGACTACCTGCGTGACCAGATATAAAGCGTTTGAGTTCTTGGTGATGCCTTTTGGCTTAACTAATGCTTCGGCCATGTTCTACACTCTCATGAACTAGCTATTCAAGGAGTATTTGGATAAGTTCGTGGTCATCTACTTAGATGATATTATCATCTACAATCAAATGCTCGAGGAGCATGTCAAGCACCTTCGGACAATCTTCAAGGTTCTCAGGGAGAACACTTTGTTTGTGAAAAGAGAGAAATGCTACTTTGCTCAAACGAAGATCTTATTCTTGGGGCATCGAATCGGTGATGGCTCCATTCGGATGGACAAATCGAAGGTACAAGCAGTCGTGGAATGGCGAACTCCAAAAAAGGTGCTGGAGTTGAGATCCTTCCTTGGTTTTGTCAACTACTATTGATGCTTCATAGCGGGGCATTTGAAGCATGCAACTCCACTAACGGAGTTGCTGAAGGAGTAGCCTTGGAAGTGATATGATAAATGTAAAATTACATTTCAAGATCCAAAGGCTGCCATGTTTGAAGAACCAGTGCTCAAATTGCTAGACTATAGGGAGCCATTCGAAGTCCATACAAATGCTTCAAGCTTCGCTATTGGGGGAGTACTCATGTTGGAGGGTCATCCGATGGCCTATGAGAGCCGTAAACTCAATGAGACTAAGCAGCAGTATCCGGTGCACGAGAAGGAGTTGACAGCGGTGATCCACTATCTACGAGTTTGGTGACACTACCTTCTTGGATCGCGATTTGTACTAAGGACAAACAACATCATTTTGAGATATTTCCAAACTCAGAAGAAACTGTTCCCAAAGCAGGCACGATGGTAGGACTTCCTGGCTGGGTTTGATATGACAATGGAGTATAAGCGTGGAAAGGCAAATGTCGTGGCCGATGCATTGAGTCGGAAAGTGGAGCGTGTGAATGCTGTACAATTGGAGGGCAGAGGCCAAGCAAGTCAGTTGTACTCCAACTTCCTTTCTAGGATCAAGGATGGACTGTACAGTAATCCTCAAGCAGAAGCCCTAATACAACTCATTAAAGAAGGCAAGACACGATGGTTTTGGGTCCAGGAGAGACTCGTTTACACCAAAGAGAATAGGGTCTATATTCCTCGAGTGGATAATCTGAGACATGAACTCTTAAGAGAGTGTCACGATTCCCTTTGGGCTAAACATCCAAGCATTTATAGAATCTTGGCTCTCATGGAGAGGGTCTTCTATTGGCCGAAGATGGGGACTGATTTGGAAGAATATGTTCGAATGTGCCTCACTTACCAATAAGACAAGATGGAGCAATGGAAGCCGGTAGGACTTTTGGAGCTGTTGCCCATACTAGAAAGGCCGTGGGAGAGCATTTCCTTGAACTTCATATCAATCTTGCCCACAGTAGGGAGACTCGGATCGATACTCGTTGTGGTCGATCGATTTTCTAAGTATGCAACTTTCATTGTTGCTTCCCTACACTATTCAGCAAAGGAGGTGGCTAAGCTAATGATAAAGGATGTGATGAAGTATTGTAGAGTCCCGCACAATATCATCAATGATCGAGACGCTCAGTTCCTGGAACGATTCTGGACTGAGCTATTCAAATTGTTGGGGTCAAAGTTATACTTTTTTACAAGCCTCCACCCCCAAAGGAATGGCCAGACTGAAAGGATAAACTCACTCGTAGAGAAATATCTTCAGTACTACGTGAGTGCCAACCAACGAGATTGGGTGAAGTTGTTGGACATTGCCTAATTCTCCTACAATTTGTAGCGAAGCTCTACGTCCAACAAGAGCCCCTTCAATATCATCATTACAGGGCAACAACCATCAACTCCTCACACCATGGTAATTGGATATACTGAGAGTAGTCCGTCAGCCTACCACTTTGCAAGGCAGTGGCACCAAAATGTAGATATTATGCGGGCTTCCTTGGAGAAGGCGACAAAAAAAATGAAGAAATGGGCAGACTTGGGAAGGCGACCGCAAGAGTTCAAGATCAGCGATTTGGTATTGGTCAAGCTCCAACTAGTATCTCTCCAATTCTTTAGGAACAAAGTACATAAAGGATTGGTGCGTAAGTATGAAGGGCCCTTCCCAATTATCAGCAGGGTAGGCAACGTCTCCTACAAGTTGCAACTGCCGGCGTGGTTCAAAATTCATGTTCTTCATGCCCATAACTTGAAAGCCTACCACTAGGATCCGCAAGATACTTCCCGAAGTGTTCCAACTCGGCTACCCCCCACCACAGCCTCCTATGAGAAGCGAGTTGAAACCATTTTAGTGGATCACAAGATAAAGCTAACCACTAGAGCTGAGCAGACCGAGTACTTGGTGAAGTGGTGAAAGCTTCCCCGAACTAAAGCTAGTTGGGAGCCTAAAGACGCCCTACGACATGAAGAAGCAATCATCAACAACTATCAACAAGCATCGACGAGGGCATTAACAATTTGAGTGGGGGAGAATGTCACGAACGGTTATCGCGCACCCATAACAACTCCATTCAACGAACCATTCATCGCTCTCATCTACATGTATAGCTGCTTTGTAGTATGTTTTGACTTGGTTTTAAGTCCTTTTGCTTATAAAAATATAGGTTCAAATAAGTTACAGTACTATAGTGTGACCGCTCATCGAACCGAGCAAAATAGCTCCGTTTTCGCGTGCCATGGGCTATTTTCTGTACTCCGCTGCTGCACGCGAAACATCAGTCATCTCAGTACCCTGGAACCACTTGGGTGGCACCATGGGAGATGAGGCTTCGGTATAGTATTGGGCGTTGAACAATCTTTCGCAAGTTCGCACGTTACCTTGATGGGAACTTGTTGTCACGCCTGACACCCGGTAAGCAACTGTTTGTGGACTTGCAACTATTCGTTTAACCCTCTAAAGTTCTTGTTTTCCTCCTCTCCCTCTTTTCTCTTGTGCAAACAAGATGCTCGCTGAATTGCTTGTAAAGCTTCCCCTTTTTGCGAGACGTCGGGACTTGTCCGTCGCTCATTCTTCGAACTAATCAACTTTCTCTTTTACAGATCCTTCGGGACTTGTAAGAGGTTGCAAGTGGGCTGATCTTTGCGGACGCAAATCGCAAGGGTAAAGCACACCTTTGGTAACGCAAGCTAGGTTCGCATTTTTACTACAAGGGTGCCTCGCGACTTAGGTAATTCCAGCTAAGTACATGATAATATGCTACTATATTGTTTAGCTGTCATACATATCATACTCTCAAAACAAAAATGATGGAGTTTTAGATGAAACTCTAGATATATCAAACTCCCATATTAATCAAATTTTATTTACTTGTTTCATTCATTTAAAATATTTAAATTTATTGGGTGTCGTTGATGTGATATTACGGTGTCCAATAAATAAAGCTCATTATTCCTATATCAGAAGGGGAGTTACAATCTTACCCACCCACACGCAAAGTCATTTATATGGCAGAGAGAGGATGAGCTATGAATTATTGGGTTGTTCACATGGCACTTCTTTCGGGAACACCGTCCATTATTGTATGCATATGGCATGGAACCTGAGTGACGGATGCCCTCTTATGGGTAGCAGTACTGGCATCACGTGATATGTCAAGTTATTCCCGTTTCCCACTTTACACCGGACTCATTTCATGAGCATATTAATCTCATTTTTCTGTCGGTGTTTGTCAGGATTCCGATGCTTTGGACCCACAAATGCAGCTTCTTAACACACCTCATATTGTCGCTGGATGCTATCGAATTTTTCATATATATAATATTATATTATATATATACATATATATACATATATATATATTTATGTATAACACTAAAGAGAGGTGGCTGTCGAAGACGTCATATATACAGTTATTATTGCTTTTGCACATGCAAAGCAGTACGGAAGGTACGATCGAGGCACTAAAAATACACCAACGCTAAACCCATTCATTCTCCCAATAACCAATGATCACCTCTGTCATTGCATTCAGTCGGAAACACGAAAATTAGGTTCCAAGGGAGAAGACAAGAAAGTCTTCCACAAACGCAAACACAGGGAATGCTTATGCGATACCAACAGTTCTTAAGCCTTCGTCGATCTGTCCGCCCCCAGTTTTTGGATCGTCAGATGCCTCAGATCTCGATGGAAAGAAGCCAAAAGAGGCACGTCACCTTTGAGGTCTGTGTCTGGAACTATATATCAACGGCGCCAATTTATGACTAAACAATTGAATGAAAGGACTCGGTGGTGCTTACAGCTTATTATCCATGTGCCGCGTATCGAGGAAGGAGGAGTCTGAGCAGCTGATCTTTACAGGTCAAAGTGGAGTTCTCCGAACTCCTCTGTACCTCGATGACTGCCATGGGCTTTTCCGGCGCCATCTCCTACCGTGCCACCGCGTTCATCGTCGCCCCTCTTCTCGTTTTGGTCGTCATCTATGGCTGCTTGTGGCCGCCGGGAGTACCCACAGCTTTCTTCCGCTTGCAAAATGGTGCAAATACTGTAAGTTGAGCCACACACAGTATATGCTGAACCGTACGCACAGAGAACTCAGAAACTAGCTTGTATTTTGCGTGTCGTCAGATGGAGATTACCCCAAAAGATGAACTGGAAACAGCACTAGAGGGGGTCGCCATGGAGAACAGGACTTTGATCATCGCGATACTGAACAAGGCGTACGTGGAGCAGAACGCGATGCTGGATCTGTTCTTGCAAAGTCTTGGAGAAGGGGAGGACACCGAATTCTTGATCGACCACCTTCTCTTCGTCGCCGTCGACCAGAGGGCCTTCAACAGATGCCGCACCCTGGAGCTTCACTGCTACAAGCTCGTAACCGAGGGCGTCGACTTCTCCAAGGAGGTCTTCTACATGTCTGATGCATTCAACAACATGATGTGGAGAAGAACTCTCTTCCTCAGAGATGTCCTCCGGCGCGGATACAGCTTCATCTTCACCGTAAGTCATAGTAAGCCATCCTGGTGATTGTATATTACTGCGAAATTTCTTATGTTGTCTTTGCTATCAGGATATGGATGTCATGTGGCTACGGAATCCGTTCTCACTGTTGGATCGTGATGGAGAGGACCTTCAGATGAGCAGTGATTTCTACTACGGCAACCCATTCGATAACTTCAACTTCAACACCGGCTTCTATTTCGTGACAGCAAACAACAAGACCGTAGCACTGTTCGACGAGTGGTATGGGTGGAGGAACAACTCGAAAGGCATGAAAGATCAAGATGTGCTGCAGAAGATGAAGAAGGAGGGAGCGTTCACGCGGCTGGGGCTGAAAGTGAGGTACCTGGAGACTACCTATTTTAGTGGGTTCTGTCAAATGAGTCAGGACTTGAGGAAAGTGATTACGGTTCATGCGAACTGTTGTGTCAGCATGAAAGTTAAGCTCATAGACCTGAGATGTGTGCTTGAAGCTTGGAAGGTTAGCAACACGAATGGCACATCAAATGCTACTACGACTGCATGGCCTCCGGTCAAGGGAATCTGCTTGCACGACACTGCCACCAAGCAGCACACTGCCACAAAGCACTGAAGTGAACAGGGTAAGATGACCAAGGTTTCTGTGCATTCATAACTCGAGAGAGAGACTTGTCGATCCATGTATCACTTATGTGTTCCATACAATTATAAATGCTCCCCGTACCAGTTTAAAGCAAAGGTGCAGGATGACATTTTTAGCCTATACTTAGCACCGACGAGCAATAAAGAGAGAAAAAATAAAAAGGAAGAGAAAAAATAATAATTAAAAATTAAGAAGAAGAAAAAAAAAAGGATAATTGTCATTCTCATTCTTAACTCGAGAATACTCCTATAATGTAGTTTGATGCTTCCGTACATCCTGTGATCGATGAAACTATTCTATCGAAAAGCAGTTTATATTAAAATAACTCAATTCATTGATCTTCTTCTCATCGATCAATGCACCCTCTATTTGTAGGTCCAAATATAAAATAATAAATTGTAAACAGATAAGTGTTTACAAAAGTTTTAATCAGAATTTATAATCTTCAATCATAATCATTCGTAATCATAATTTGATTTATTATATTTTTAATATTTTTTTATTTCTTGAGTAAATTATGAAAGTAGGTTAGAATTATTCACACCTATGTAAAATAATATTTAAATTAATCAAATATATTTAAATAAATGATAGACTAAATTGAGATATCATTTCCTTTCGTAAATTAGAGTATTATTAAGATCTTAAACGGGACTTAAGAATGGGAGACCCGCGAGTAACTCGTGTACAGCATTATAAAGACCAACTTGACCACATACAATAAACCAAAATGAAATTATTCGTAAGACCTTGGAGGGACCTCGGAAAAATGAGGCACCCATGAACAGCTCATGTACGTCATGATAAAGACCCACCTGACCACATTCATCAAATGCCAAACTCATGCACTTAAAAGATGAACGAGAAGTTGGGAAAGAGAGACTATTGGTAGCTATAGTGCAAATTGAACTTAAATTTCATGTTGCTCGAGTTCTCATATATTCGTTCCTAAAGTTTCGTTCTTGTGTTTGCCAGCCGGCAAACTCCAGCAAGTTGTGGCAGAAAACTGAAAACTCCAAGGCAGAGATGAAATGTTTTGTATAGAATGCTTAAATAAATATTATTTTTTACATCAAATTTGGGATCGAATTTTTATTAAGTGAGGAGCAATATAATTATACATGATCTTTTTCTCCCTTAATATAAATTAATTATCATAAATATATATTATTTCAATTAAATTATTAACTTTCTTGTTTGTATAACATGATTAAGGAAATAAATTAGTAATTTTATCACATGGATAAATTAGTAATTTTATCCATGGATAAATTAGTAATTTTATCAATTAATTAAATTATTAATTAATTTTATTTTTAATGAGTGATGTACTTTTTGAAAATAAATAATTTAAATTTAAATATTATAATTCTATCTTTGTGTTTAAAAATAAATTAAAATTAAAAATTAAATTATTACTTATCTTTTTTGAAAAAAATAAGTCAAGCATGACCCAGTTTAATAATAAGACTCAGCATAATTTGTGAGTGAGACTCAATCTATCATATGAAATTAGGCCCATCCAACTATGTGACCAGCCTAAATATGTCATTGTCTATTTATTCAATCCATTATACCTCAACCTAATTTCAGATAGACATATATGGTGCACGTGACTTATCCAAGACTTAGATGAATTGATTCGATCTAGGATAGCATGATGCGATATATTTCAATTTCCTAATTTGAGCTCGTTAATTGATTGAATTAGTGTTTGATTGGCTCAAGTCAGTTCGAGGTTCTTCTAGACTAACTTGATAAGTTTTAACCAACTTGACCTAATTGAAATCAATTAAATCTAAAATAGATCGGTGATTTCAAACTAATTTTATAATGATTTAAGGTTGATTCTTTTAGGTCCTAAGTGAATTGAGTTTAGTTTAGGTCAATTAGGCTATTCTAATTAGAGTTCTATTTGATTGAAGATGAGGGATTGATGCCTCTTATTTTTATAATTTAATAAATTTAAAAATTATATCTAAAGGTGTCATTTGAAAATAATTATTAGTTTTTTAAATTAAATTGATAATATTAATATGATTATTACCATATAGTATAACTATGTTGAGTGGTCTACGTTGGAAGTATAACATATGAAAGGAGTTATATGTTATTACAATATAAAGCCACCGGTCTAGTAGATCATATATTAAACATAGTTTCTCATAATATTTTATCATATTATTTAGAAGCAAGTATGAATAAATAGATGAATATAAATGAATGATTATGGTTGACTATGTATCTCTATCGAGGGTAGGTAAGATGATTCCATTAAAGGATTAATAACCTCTTAAACGTGATGGTTAAATGATTTATGTATCTATTATTAGGAAGAACGTGTTCTTACTTGTTTGGGTGATTAATACGACTTTATCTACTATTGGGAGTGCAATAGGAGTTTTCTTCATTCGTTGTTGGGATGAATCCATTTTATAAAATATATCTTTTCATCTGTTGGGAGAGTATATCATCTGGTATAATATACACATTTATTATCTCATTGTTATGTACGCATATATACAAATGTTATATATGATTGATGCATAATTTTGTTTATTATATAAAAATTATTATTTTACTGATATATATGTTTCATAATAAATTAATAGTTTATCATGTTGTATTAGATTATTGATATTTATATATGTATCATGAATATTAAAATTATTTTTATGATTTTTTAGAAGTTACAATCAATATATATGGCTATTTATATGGTTTTATTCTATATTTTTTTAAGTAATCTACTATTTTATAATAGATATGAGGTTTGGATGGAAATTTTTTTTAATCACTCGTGACCCCAAAAAATATTTAATATTATAAATACATTAATTTAATTTTTTTAAAAAAATCTTCTGTAAATAATGAATAATAAAATAATATTTTTTTTAATTTAGGATATAACATAAAAAGATCAACAACAAGAAGTTGACAATGAGAGACTTTATCGGTAAAGATGAAAGAATACCATAAGCTATAGTGCACCTTAATATTAAGTCTGTATGCTCTCGATATAGATATGTTAATCACTTAATAAGTTTTTTAGCTTATATTATTATTATATAAAATTTTTAAGTTAGCTTGTCACTTATTGAAATATTTGAATTGAACTGAGACAGTGAAAAATTATTCAAATTTTAGATATATCTTATTAATTGGCACATTATAATTGTTGTATAAGTATGTTTTGCATGTAGTGAAATAGAAGTAGATGCTTGAAAAGAAGTAGACATCTAATTAGAGTGAATAAGATTAGCTATCGAAGGCCACTCCGGTTGTGTATGAAATCCTGGTAGTAATTATGATCTTACACTATAATATTTGTCTTATGTTAAATATCAAGTTGTAACTATGACTCATGCTCCACTATATAACACAGGAAGTACAGGAATCTGACTTATAGGTTAGGTTTGATTCAAATCTTATGCTTGTAGATTGAGTACATTAATTTTAAGATTTTAGGTTAGGATGGTAAATGCACATAAGTATTTATGTTATTGATTTTGAGACTCGAAGGGAATAGTCTTATGGTTATAGATCATCACTGCATTAAGATTTAGATTTCCACATATAATATTGTTATCGTATTTGAAGGTACTAACTAATTTAATGAATAAAGAAATTAATAGTCTAATGGTTGTACTTTTTGGGTTTGAATCTTATCTTTAGATTTCACCAGTTACTCTTCAATCTACTTGGTTCAATATTAGAACTGTAAAGACTAAATATGTAATGGAAAGTAAAATGAAAACTAACACAAAAAAATAAAAATGAAGAAAGAAAAAAATAAAAAGAAAGATTTGTCCAAAGAGCAAGAAAAGGAAACATAGAGAGAACTTTGGAGTCTTTTCTTCATTCTTACTCGAAGGTGATCGATAATAGACTTCTATGGTCAGCTAGATAAAGAAACCCAGCTTGGACCAAATATGGAAGAGAGGGAGCAAATATTATTTCAAAGAGTTGAAACTTAGATCTCATTTGAAAGAAAGCAAAAATTTCAAGAGTTGAATCGATATCACGAAAATAATAATAAAATTGTAAGTCATAACTCTTTAAAATCTCTCATCAAACATATTAAAAATTTATAATAAAAAATAAAAATTATAATATATATATATATATATATATACATATATATACATATATGTATGAATACATGTATATATATTTATATATTTATATATATCACTAAAGCCTATCCGAGATGGCTGTCGAAGACGTCATGTAGACAGTAAATATTGCAAAGCAGTAGAAATGGTAACGATCAAGGCACTAAAAAATCCACCAACTCCCAACCCATTCATTCTTCCAATAGCCAATGATCGCTTATGTCATTGCAGTCTGTCCAACACACGAAAACTAGGTTCCAAGGGAGAAGACAAGAAAGTCTTCCACAAAAGAAAAAACAGGGAATGCTTATGTGATACCAACAGTTCTTAAGCATTCGTCGATCTGTCCGCCCCCAGTTTTTGGATCGTCAAATGCGTCAGATCTCGATGGAAAGAAACCGAAGGAGGCACGTCACCTTTGTGGTCTGTGTCTGGAATTACTGCCTTTCGCGATCACCGGCGCCAACTTATACCTAAACAATTGAATGAAAGGACTCGGTGGTCGTTACAGCTTCTTATCCATGTGCCGCGTGTCGATGTAGGAGGAGTCTGAGCTGCTGATCTTTACAGATCAGAGTGGAGTTCTCGGATCTCCCCTGCACCTCGATCATTGCCATGAGCTTCTCCGGTGCCATCGCCTACCGTGCCACCGCGTCCATCGTCGTCGCCCCTCTTCTCGTTTTGGTCGTCATCTATGCCTGCTTATGGCCGCTTGGAGTACCCACAGCTTTCTTCCGCTTGCAACATGGTGCAAATACTGTAAGTTAATCCACACAGAGTATATGTTGAACAGTACGCACAGAGAGCTCAGAAACTAGCTTGTATTTTGCGTGTGGTCAGACGGAGATTACCCCAAAAGATGAACTGGAAGCAGCACTAGAGGGGGTCGCCATGGAGAACAGGACTTTGATCATCGCGATACTGAACAAGGCGTACGTGGAGCAGAACGCGATGCTGGATCTGTTCTTGCAAAGTCTTGGAGAAGGGGAGGACACAGAATCCTTGATCGACCACCTTCTTTTCGTCACCGTCGACCAGAGGGCCTTCAACAGATGCCGCACCCTGGAGCTTCACTGTTACAATCTCGTAACCGAGGGCGTCGACTTCTCCAAGGAGGTCTTCTACATGTCTGATGCATTCAACAACATGATGTGGCGAAGAACTCTCTTCCTAGGAGATGTCCTCCGGCGCGGATACAACTTCATCTTCACCGTAAGTCATAGTAAACCATCCTAGTGATCGTATGTTACTGCGACATTTCTTATGTTGTCCTTGCTATCAGGATATGGATGTCATGTGGCTACGGAATCCGTTCTCACAGTTGTCTCGTGATGGAGAGGACCTTCAGATGAGCAGTGACTTCTACTACGGCAAACCATTCAATAACTCCAACTTCAACACCGGTTTCTATTTCGTGACAGCAAACAAGAAGACCGTAGCACTGTTCGACGAGTGGTATGCGTGGAGGAACAACTCGAAAGGCATGAAAGAACAAGATGTGCTGCAGAAGATGAAGAAGGAGGGAGCGTTCACGCGGCTGGGGCTGAAAGTGAGGTACCTGGAGACTACCTATTTTAGTGGGTTCTGTCAAATGAGTCGGGACTTGAGGAAAGTGATTACGGTTCATGCGAACTGTTGTGTCAGCATGAAAGTTAAGCTCATAGACCTGAGATCTGTGCTTGAAGCTTGGAAGGTTAGCAACTCGAATGGCACATCAAATGCTACTACGACTGCATGGCCTCCGGTCAAGGGAATCTGCTTGCACGACACTGCCACCAAGCAGCACACTGCCACAAAGCACTGAAGTGAACAAGGTAAGATGACCAAGGTTTCTGTCAATTCATAACTCGAGAGAGAGAGAGAGAGAGAGACTTGTCGATCCATGTATCACTTATGTGTTCCATACAATTATAAATGCTCCCCGTATCAGTTTAAAGCAAAGGTGCAGGATGAAATGTTTTAGCCTATACTTAGTACCGACGAGCAATAGAGAAGAAAAAAAAAAAAAAAAAAAGAAGGAAGAGAAAAAATAAAAATAAAAATTTAAAAAGAAAAAAGGGATAATTGTCATTCTCACTCTTAACTCAAGAGAATACTCCTATAAAGAAGTTTGATACTTCAGCACATCCTGTGAACGATGAAATTATTCTATCGAAAGAAACTCAATTCATCGATCTTCTTATCATCAATGCACTCGCTCTATTTGTATGTCTAAATATAAAATAATAAAAAATATATAATTATATCAAATCAAATTTGATCTTCAGAGTAAGTTTCTCGATAAGTGTTTACAAAAGTTTTAATCAGAAATTATAATCTTCAATCATAATCATAAGTTGATTATTATAATATTTAATATTTAATATTTTTTTATTTCTTGAGTAAACTATGAAATTAGATTAGAATTATTCATGCAAAGAATGAAATGTCTGTATTTGATATGATGCTCTTTATTTATATACATAAGGAGGGAGGATTTTCCTGAATAGAATAGCGATATTTCCTTATGTAGTTGAGGAAATCTCAACTGTTATCATAGAAAATCTTAGCTGCTATCATGCCCACAAGATGGTGCTTTTATCAAGGATGTCGATCTTGGACCGATGCGATAAAAATAGTTTACGAGTAAGAAGCTTTGTGAGTTTGCTAGTTGATTAGTCGTATGTACGTGAGAAACACATAGTTGATGTCTGACAATTTGTTCTCGCACGAAGTGAAAGTCGATGGCTATATATTTCATACGTGAGTGGAATACTGGATTGGTACATAGGTAAGTGGCTCCAACATTATCATAATATATTGTAGGAGTAGAGGTGGAGTTGATATTAAGTTCTCAGAGTATGTTTGTGACCCAATTGAGTTCTGCGGTAGTAGTTGCAATAGTATGGTATTCAGCTTCAGTCGTAGATCGTGTAACTATCTTTTGCTTATTAGAACTTCAATTGATTGTATTAGCTTCAAGAAAGATAATATACCTTGACATGGATGTTCTGTCATCAAAGTTCCCTATCCAGCATCAACAAAGGCATAGAGATGAAATGGGGAGTGTTTGTGAAAAAAGAGACCATGATTGAGAGTCCCTTAAAGATATCGCAAAATTCGTTTAACTGTAGACCAATGCATAGTAGATGGCCGATACACGAATTGTGATAATTTATTGACTGCAAATGAGATATCTGGGCAGGTGAGAGATAAGTACTCTAAGGAGCCAAGTACTTGGCGATATTGAGTTGGATCCGTAGTAGGGTTTCCATCACATAGTTTGAGTGACTCGCCAATAGACAAAGGAGTTTAACCATTTTTGTGTCTTGCATATTCGTCTTTTATAATAGAGCTTGAATATACTTTCTTTGTGATAGGAAGAGTCTTAAAAATATGTATGTTACTTCCACTCCCAAAAAAATAGCTCAAGGTTCTTATTTCTTTAAGGGAGAATCGATCTTCTAAATGCTTGAAAAATGCCTTAGTTTCCATAGGATTATTACCCATGACAATAATATCATCCACATATACTAGAAGATATATTATATTACCACTTTGGTGACGGAGAAATAGTGAGGTATCAGACTTGGAGTTAATGAAGCTAGTTGATGTAAAAAATGAGCTAAGTTTGGTGTACCAAGCTTTTGGAGCTTGACGAAGTCTATAAATAGCTTTTTGTAGTTTACAAACATACCTTGGATACTAAGAGTGGATGAAGCTAGGAGGTTGTTGCATGAAGACATCGTCAGTTAGAGTTCATTGTAAAAAGACATTGTTAACATTGAGTTGTCGTAAATGCCTAACCTTTTGAGATAGCCAAACTCAGAATAAGTCAGATTATTATGGGTTTAACAATGAGACTAAATATTTCTGTGAAGTCAATACCAGGATATTGATGAAACTCTTTGGCCACTAGACGTGCTTTATATTTAGCAATGGATCAATTTGGGTTCCGCTTAATTCGAAAGACTCACTTACACCCGATGATATTTTGTGTGGGATGAGAAGGTACAAGGGTCCATATAGAATTATGGAGGAGGGCGTTTTGGGATTGAGTAATTATGGTAAGTTTATTGTTTCCTGACGATAATTTTGTGATAGTATATAGGTCAAGGACTTGTCGTAGTTTAAAAATACCACTTTTAGAGCGTGTTGTCATTAGATATCCAGGGGCTATAGGGTGTGTTATAGGTATGGGTGGTGGAGAGGCACTGATATTGGTCGGGGCAAGCTAAGGTACTTCAGTGTCATTGGTCCCAAGAGAGGATAAAGATAGTGGTTGTGTTTCCAAGGGCATTACATCAGTAGTAGAGGAACCTTGTGAAGAAGGGAGAGGAGCAATGGAGGGAGTGAGGAGCTATTGATTGGGAGAAGAATGATTGAATGGTGTTGTAGGAGACTCGGTTGATGGGATCAGTAGTGTACTTCAATGATGTATATTTGTTGGAATAGTTCGCATAGTAGGAGACTTAAGGTTTTGAAACAAAAAATTAGTCTCCATAAAAATAACATGACGGGATGTAAAGACTTTTTGAATTTGGGGTTCATAGCATCAAAAGATATTATGTTCAAGAGAGTATCTAATGAAAACACAAGGCTTAAATTTTGATGTTATCTTATGTGAGGCATAGGGACGGAGCCATGGATAACATAAACAGTCAAACACTTTAAGTTTTTGAAGGTTTGAGGATTTGTGAAATAGTTTTTCAAATAGTGACTCATATTGGAGGACTAGAGTGAGCATACGATTAATGAGGTAGACGACAGCTTGAAAGGCTCCAGTCCAAAAAGTTATTGACATAGAGGCTTGATATAGGAGTGTTTGATCAGTTTCAACTATATGTCAATGTCTACGTTTAGTAGAGCCAACGAGTTGAGGAATATGTGGGAGTGACTTAAGGTGTTGTATACTACAAGTAGAGAGACAAGATGTGAGAGCTTGATATTCATTACCATCATCAGAGTAAACTATTTTAATTGTAGACTGAAAGAAGTTCTCGACCAACCTTCTAAAGTTGGTAAAGATTGTTGAAACTTTAGATTTATGGTGGAGATGATATAACCGTATGTACTTGGTGAAATAATCTACGAAAATAACATAAAATATGAACTTGGGGTAAAGCCCCAAACATCAGTATAAATAACTTCAAAAGGTTTAGAGCAGGATACGGAGGATATTCCAAAGGAGAGTCTATGACTTTTATTACTTAAACAAGCATCACAATGAGTTATAATGCTATTGGTTTTAAGAATAGGAAGAGAATAATGGGAAGTAATTTTTGTTGGTTAGAGGATGTGGGATGACTAAGACAATGATGCCACACTTCAGTTGGAGCTGTGATGGAAGATTAAGCAGTGGGCTAGGTGATTTGTGGAATTGATGGCCACTCATAAATGTTATCCTTACTAGCCTCAGACCAAGGATGCCTCCGTGTTTAAATCCTTGACAAGAAAGAAGTTAGGAAAGAATTTAATTGAGGTATTATTTTGATTGTAAAATTGAGAAACATAAATAAGATTTCGTTTGATGTGGGGTGCATACAAAATATCATCAAGTGTCAAAATTGTATTATTTGAATTAAGCATTGTTGAGCCAATATGAGTAATGAGGAGTTCGTTACCATCACCGACGATGATGTCTTCATTTCCACCATAGTTGTAAGATTTGTGTGAGGCCAATGTGATGGAGGAAGTATGGGCTGAGTTTTATAGACTTTTGCAGAGTGGCCAACTTTATCACATAGCTAGCAGACAACTCTATTGATTTGTATGATCAGGACGTCAGGGCTGAGGATAATTGAAGTAGCCAAATGGTTGTGATTGAAATGTTGATGAGGTGGAGGAGGGAGGTTTATTTAGAGTCCATAAATTCATGAGGCATGCTGGCCAAACCTTTGTTGATGGTTTTGTTCTATAGGTTGCTCTTCTTCTTGGATTTTTGACAAACTTGAACTATGATAGATAATCCTGACAATTTGTCCTCACGCTTGAGATATATCTCATAATTAGTCAATTTGTCATAGAGTTCTTCAAATGATATCAATGAGTCGTGTGCCTGTACTACTGTTGTCAGTTCATTATACTCATCCCTTAGGTCATTAAGTGTGTGGATAATAACTTATTCATCACTAAGATTATGATCTATCAGGGTCAAGTTTTGAATGATAATTTTTATATTTTGTAGATAGTCAGCAATAGAACTTCCCTCTTGTTTTGCTTACATGAGGCTAGATAAGAGACTAAGCAAGCGAGTATGCGAACGATTTGCCAAGGTGGTTTGCAATTTGCACTAGGCTTCGATAGTAGTGTCACATGAAGATATGAGTAGGGCAAGAGATCTAACAACTGAAGCTTAAATTGCTTGAAAGATGAGATGATCTTGGCATAACCATAGTTTGTGGTCTAGATGTGGTACTGGACTAAGTACTCCTAAGATGTTGAGCATCACTGGTGGATAACGGAGAGAGCCATCAACATAGCGTAATAGATTATAGCCAAATAGGATATTAGAAAATTGAGCACGCTAGGATACATAGTTGCCACCTTTAGATAACTCGAAGGGAATGAGAGTTACAACATTAATGGAAAGAAGGCATGTAGAGGGAAAAGTACTGTGGTTTCCTATAGGAACAGTAATTAGAGCGTTAGATGTAGATGATAAGGATATATTGGAGATATATACCAATCTGACGAAGCAAGGTGGGAGTCTGCAACGATTATGTGGGTGAGAAGACTGCTACGATTAGGTGTGAGGAGCTATACTTCTTCCTTGGAATTGTTGTTGTAGCGATGACAGTGATCAGGAAGAAGTGTTGGTGCAAATCAGCATCAACTGAGGTGGGTTGCGGGAAGAGCAATTCTATTCTATCGTGA